GCACACTGGCTACAGTTACATTACAGTAGCTCAACCTCCCTCTGAAAAACACTGACCTGAATTTAAATATAGCTCAATTTAGCACATAAAAGTTATATTACTTTTTTATTATTTAAGGGAGGGAGGGAAGGAAGGAAGGAAGGAAGGAAGGAAGGAAGGAAGGAAGGAAGGGTGCAGTCTCTTTATAAATCTTCTCAAATCTTTTTACGGAACCTGAAATTCTTGGTTTATGTGGGAAAATGAATAGATTTAATGAGTATATTCCCATTATATTATGACATCTGATTTCCCCCCTCTCTTTTTCTCCCCCACCCACCTTCTCTCTTTCTCTCCCATAAATACTTGTCAGGTTTATGATTTTCAACTCATTGGCTAGGAATTGTGTTGCACGAGCTCAGATTGTGGGTGCTCATACCAAGTTTAATTTCACTCACAAGTAGAGTTGACAAAAGATCACAGCCACTAAGCCCTGGAATTACCCTAGATATTGCCCTCTGTGCTCTGCAAATGAAATCCTACAGAAGACCCTTTGGAAAAAAAAGAACATGATGGTTAACACTCAGAAATCCATTTTGCACAGGGCAGCGTTTGTACACAGACAAGCACTGAATGACAGCCCAGGCTGCCAGTTCCTGGATGAGAAAAGTCAGATGCTTAGAATTTCTCTCTCTCTCTCTCTCTCTCTCTCTCTCTCTCTCTCCCTCCCCTCTCTCTCTCTCTCTCTCTCTCTCTCTCTCTCTCTCTCTCTCTCTCTCTCTCTCACACACACACACACACACTGGCCTGACCCTCCCTTTCCTCTCCATCTCCCCCTCACCCCATGCCCTTGATTGACTACCAGGTCAGATAAGAAATTAAGACCAGTGAAATCAGACCCAGACTGCACCTGTCCCCAATGCAGCCAGAAGAGAACTGAAATAAAGCACTTATGAAACTGCTGTGATCATAACCTTCAAAACATTGAACTCTCCCCAGCTGTCTTGCTTTCCCAAACCCAGATTGGAAATTTCTACAATGGGGGCTGTGGCACTGTGAGGCCGGGCAGGCAATCTATTTCCAACAGAATGTTGTCATTTTGGGGGAAAGGTGAAGCATCTGGGCAAGCGGGAGGTCCCCGTTTTAGCAACAAAAGCTGCTGAAAATAAGTCATGACTTCACTGATTTGGCCCGCGGAACCTGACGCAGTGGCTTTCCAAGGTCAATCGGCGGTGTGGATCGCTTTTTGGTAGCAAAACAGCAGCAAACGCATAAAAGGGATGGAAGCTTGCAAATGTGACTCAGGCTTCCTTTTCTTTATGCTGGAGACGTATACCGTCTGCTAAGTCCTTGTTTTTCGTAACAGGGCTTAAAGGGAGTCAGGGCTCAGCTCCAAAACGTGTGCGCTAAGCCCTGTTAAGCCCTAGAATGGGTTTTAAGGGGAGCAGCTCAAGGCGTCACAATGACAAGGGCATTTCTGAGGAAGCACAGAGTGTATGTTCAGTGCTACTGGCCTGCAATTCATCCCCACATATCTGAGACAGGAAGCAGGACTTCCAGGTCATAGAGCAGAGCTGTGAGTCAGATTTAAAATCTGGTCCGTGTGTGTGCATATGTTGAATGTTCAATGCCTCTCCATGTCAGACAGGTGTCATAGGATTCCATTTGGGTTCTGCAGGCACAAGGACATGCACTGAGCTGCTGCTAGAATTCTTCTTCACTCCGTTAACTGTGGAAATGTGGAAATGTGAGGAGATGTCATGGAAGCCACTCAATCCTGTTTTATGTAACTTTTACCACTTTGTGGCTTTTTGCATGTGTGCATGTGATATCCATTTTCATTATTTTACTTTCCTGGGAAATACGATTTAAGGACACAATAAAAAAAATACAACAAATACACAAACCCCCAATGCATGTACATAGTTGTGCTGGAGTGCTGGTATTTCCATGTAAAAATGCTCCATTTTCAGAAGTTCCTACTTCTTTATAAATGCATACATACCAAATTTCAGTTCTATGGGTGATCTTGGAGTAACAAGGGTTTGCTACAGGCATCTGGTTGGCCACTGTGAGAACAGGACGCTGGACTAGATGGGGAATATATATCTTACCTCCCATTTGTAGCAAAGGTTTCCTAGCAATCGAAATGCCTAGGACAACATGTGTGGCAATTTTAAGCATTTTAGTTAGTACAGTGGTACCTCAGGTTACATACGCTTCAGGTTACAGACTCCGCTAACCCAGATTAGAACCTCGGGTTAAGAACTTTGCTTCAGGATGAGAACAGAAATTCTGCTCCGGCGGCGCGGCGGCAGCAGGAGGCCCCATTAGCTAAAGTGGTACCTCAGGTTAAGAACAGTTTCAGGTTAAGAACGGACCTCCGGAATGAATTAAGTACTTAACCCGAGGTACCACTGTATGGGAGTAGCTTAAAATTCACTCTGCGTGGCAGGGTATGTATAAGATGTCAAGTTTTCAGATTTTTCTATTGATTGTGTTCCCTTAGACTACATTCAGGGTAAGTTAACCAGTCAGGACTAAGTGTGTGTGTGTGATTGTGTGCATGAGTCTTTTTTTATTAGTGTTATTGTTACATGATTTGAACTTCTTAATCATTCCATGTATTTCATACCGAACAGGAGCTGTAGTTTATTAAAGATGTGCTGCTGAAAGTTGTAAGTTAGATGCCAGGTCCCCTCAGAACACTACAATTCCCAAAGTTCCCTGGGAAGTAAGACAGATTGTTAAACCTCTTTGAGAAGAGCTGTACTGTGAGGGCAACAGGGTATCTATTGATAGGTCTCTCCATGACACACCTCCCACTTTATAAGCCCTCTGCAAAGCTTACGGAAAGGGCTAGTTTAGAAGCCTGTCTTATGTGCACCTTTCCCCCATGTTGGGAGAGATTCTGTAAATGAGGGAAACTTGTGATGCTTTCACTTGTAAGAAATTGATATTTTTGTGTGGCAACACCTAAACTTTGGAACGCCCTGCCTACTGACACCGGTCAGTACAGTGGTACCTCGGGTTACAGACGCTTCAGGTTACAGACTCCGCTAACCCAGAAATAGTACCTTGGGTTAAAAACCTTTGCTTCAGGATGAGAACAGAAATCATGCTCCAGCGGCGCGGCGGCAGCAGGAGGCCCTATTAGCTAAAGCGGTACCTCAGGCTAAGAACAGTTTCAGGTTAAGAACGGAGCTCCAGAACAAATTAAGTTCTTAACCAGAGATACCACTGTATCCGTTTTGTATTTGTTTTGGTGCCTGATTAAAAAGTTTTTGCATGGGCAACTTATTCCAGACATGTAGAATGTACACCTGTGTTTTTTTAGTTTTTAGTTTACTGTTGATTTCAATGAATTTTTGAATGCTTTAAAATACCTGTTTTTAACTGTGTATTATTGGTAATTTTAATCTTTTCCCTTTTTTTGTAAACTGCTTAGAGGCTTTACTGCAATCCAAAAGTATATAATTTTTGTTAAATAAAATATTGGCAAGCCCCATAGGGCAGCCCTTGAAGACAAATGACAGCACTTTTCATATCAGAGGTGTGCTATAGAGGTATACATGACAATAAATCATATTATTTTGCTATACTGTAAACATCTGTAGGTGACACCTGCTACACCAAGCAAGTCCTTTGTCTCTCTGCATAGCTGCCTCTGTGCCTGTAGAATTTGCAGTGATGCACTAAATTGGTATCTGGGTGCTCAGGTGACCATTTCACGACATCTATTTTCAATCCAGGCTGGCAGAAATGGATGGAAAATAAGCCCATCAAATGAAAAATAAGCCCCCAAAATGGTTGTGTGAATTGACCCAATGTCTAGTCCAAATGTTCTCCATGCAAGCTGGCAGCAGAAGCTGGTGGTAATTCAAAAATGTTACTCGCTGGTTTAAATGCTCTTTAGACATCATGACACTTCATAAAATGGTCCAGAGCTGAGGGAAAATGTGATAAAGTGACAAGAAACAGACATCAGTTGAGATTTTTTTTTTTTTTTATCAAGGAAGATTAAATGTAGAAATAGTACAACAGCCGGAGTGCAACAAAGAATACCGGACACCCACACAAACCCCTTCTCTGGGTTGCCAAGTTTGCTATCACATAGTGAATGAAGAGAAATGGGTTGTATTTCAAACACATACCATTACTCTGAGCAACAGTAACATTTTATTGCCCCAGTCATATTTTTTGACTGATGCAATAAACTTCACAAAATATAAAGAAAAAAACACACATACACACACAGAATTTATCATCTTTTCTTTCTGTTTCAAATTCAAAACAGATTCCATGGTAACATGACAGTAAACTTATGGAGACATTTAAATTACGTGACAGATAGTTCTGTACAGAGGATAAAAAAGGGAAAGAAACCAGTGACTTAAGCCTATGTATTTCCAGATCAGTCCCTCATTAGAGGGGAAGCAAAATTCCTACAAATATGGATCCATACTCTGCAGTTCTTTGCAATGCTTATTATGGCTTTTCCAATTGTTTAATGCGACAGACTTAATAAAAGTAGCAGTCATAGATAAATCACTTATTTTAAGGTTCCTCATACACATTTAGTGTGACTTTAGGCCAGTCACAGTCTCTCAGCCTAACCTACAGGGTTGTTATGGAGGAAGAGAACCATTTATGCCACTTTGAGCTCCTTGGTGGGATATAGATAGATGATAGATAATCCTTCAACATTTTGGTAAAGTGGGTAAGACAGAAGGGGCAGAGAGAACTGGGGCTAATATGAAGCAGGCTGTCCAGAGTTTCCAAGGGCTGAAATGAGGTTTGCAGGGTTTTTAGGCGGCACTGGGTCTGTGGTTACCTTTAAAATACATTTTAAAAGATTTAATTGCAAATGAATTAATGTACTGTATTCAGAAAGAGCACTTAGTGCAGAATGCTGCAGCACGATTGCTGACAGGGGTGAGACCCTGTCACAGAATCGTAGAATTGTAGAGTTGGGAGGGACCACAAGGCTCATCTAATCCATCTCCTTGCAATGCAGCAATGTTTTGCCCAATGTGGGGCTTGAATCCACAACCCTGAGATTAACAGTCTCAAGCTCAGGGCCATCTTAAGCATATCCGGCACTGTGGTACAAAGATCCCTCCGCACCCCCCCCCCACAACTCCAAAACAAGGGAAGGAGTGGTGGAAAATGTCCTCTGCCTCCCCTACCACCCAAATCCCCGGCGTGGTGGCGTCGATCAAGCAGGAAAACCTGCGGGCAGACATGGTCTCTGTTGGGGCGCCCGAGAAGGCAGCCTGGGAAGGCTGTGCCTTTTGCCAGGAAGCAGGAGGAGGACAATGACCCTGACCCCGTCTTTAGCAGATTCAAAGGCTTGGGAGGGAAGCTGCATGCCCGGCAGCCATATAGTTGGCAGGGCGCTGCTGGTGGGCATGCAGGGAAAGGGGAGGCTGCCGGCGAAGCTGCACAGCTCCCCCACTCGCTAGGGCACCCCTGAGAGGCCAGCGCTGTGGCGCAATGAACCACTAAAACCAATGGGAAAGACGGCTCTGCTCAAGCTGTATAGGCTGAGCTGTCAACATGTAACACCTTTGCTCCGAAATTTACATTGGCTGCCAAATAGTTACTGGGTCTAGTTCAATGTGTTTCTTTTAGTATATAAAGCCCTTAACAGCTTAGGACCAGTTTACTTGTGGGATTGTATTACCCCATGACCATTTTGATCTGTGGAACTGGTGACTTCCGGGTTAGCGCCATCGGCAATGGCGGAGTTCCTCTGACCGAGAGGAACCCGCTCCGTGAAAATCGGGTCTTGCCGTGGCGGCGAAGGAGGAGACCCTTTAAAAATCCCAGGCGGAAAAAGCCTGGGAACGTGGGATTCGGCTGACACCAGGAGCGCCTCCCCTACTCGCAGGGAAACCCTTTTTCGGGGATCCGAAGCGACGTGGGGTGAGTGGCGCGGTGTTTTGAATCAACCGCTACTTTTACGGAGTGAAGCCGCACAGCCGTTGCCGGAGAGCGCTGACTTTCTCCTGTGGACAATTGGACTCTAAACAAGTACCCGTGAGTAGAACAGAAAATTGGATTAAGAAACATTTTAATTTGGCACTGAAGCGGGAAGGTTCTAAACAGGAAGTCCGCCTCCCGTTTTTTGTAAATAGATTGAAGCAAAAACTTTGTAAGCTAAAGTCTGGAAAGTCGTATATAAAGGTCTAAATTTCCTTCAGTTATTACCACTAAAACCCCTCTTGGAAGCAGGAGAAAGGGGGGGGGGATTTTTGACTATTTAAGCCTGCAGGAGAGAGAGTAAAGAAAGATAAATTTCCACCGTCTCAAACCTGGGAACGGGGTGTCAGAGACAGAAATTTACGGGGAAGTTCATCGACTGTGAATGGAACGTCTTTTGACAGATAGTAAAAAAAAGAGAAACAAATTGACTCCAATGTTGCTTCTTGCATTCAAAGAAACAAAGTATTTGAAAAAGGAAAGTAATTTTCTTTTGTTGGTCCTGCTTTCAAAAGATGGATACAAATAGAAATTGTCTCCTCTAGAGGGAGCTTGTTAATTTGTTGCCGGAGTCGATCTGGGGAGTTCACAGCTGTAAGATTAGGATCGTGAGACCAGACTCTGACCTTGAATGTGTTTACAAGAAGTCTTGGTGCTTGCTTTTTGCAAGACAAGTGCTTTGCTGGAGCAGATGCATGAGAAGATGGATTTGATGACTGTTGCAGTTAAAAACTTTGGACAAACGGCGAATACTCATATAGAAACCATTCAGGAACCTGCCCAGGAACTTGTTTTGACAGGGCAAGCACAAGTGCAGAAGATAATGGAGGAGGTTGCTGTTGAACCTCAAGTAACACAAATGGAGAGATCGGAGGCCTTGCAGGAGCATAAGCCGCTGTTTTTGAAGTTTGAATCTGGAGTAGACCAGGGGGGGTCTGGAGTTGTGAGGGCTCTTAATTTTGGAAGGACTTTGAAACATGCTTTTAAATACTTTCTGGATTACAGTGTTGACTCTGGGGAATGGGACTGTGGGGAATGGGCTGATCTGCTGAGGAGAGATGGAGATATTTTTTTATTTTTTTTTAAAGATATTTATTAAAATTTCAACATATTACAAAAATGAGCAAAAAAAGAAAAAGAAAAGCAGATAAAAAAAGAAAAAAGATGTAAAAATGGAAAAATACAGAATACAAAATAAAAACAGTTAAACAAACAAATTAGTCTTTCTATGTCTTATCCTTCATTTACTTGTTTCCTCGACCTCCTCGCACCTCCCTTTTTTGTATTCCAGTTCACATATTTTGTTCAGCAGTTCCCTCCCCTCTTTTAAATATCCTAATCAATAATCATAAAGATATTGTACTTTTAGATTTTTACATATTACATAGTAAACCCTTTTTCATCTTCCCTTGTAACATTTCAGCTAAGAACCACTTAGTTTTTATCGAACATCATTCTAACATTCATTAATTTTACAATATTTCTGTAGATAATCTTTGAATTTCTTCCAATCTTCTTCCACCGACTCTTCTCCCTGGTCTCGGATTCTGCCAGTCATTTCCGCCAGTTCCATATAGTCCATCAGCTTCATCTGCCATTCTTCCAGAGTGGGTAGATCTTGTGTCTTCCAATACTTTGCAATAAGAATTCTTGCTGCTGTTGTGGCATACATAAAGAAAGTTCTGTCCCTCTTTAGCACCAATTGGCCGACTATGCCCAGGAGAAAGGCCTCTGGTTTCTTCAAGAAGGTATATTTAAATACCTTTTCAATTCATTATATATCATTTCCCAGAAAGCCTTAATCTTTGGGCATGTCCACCAAAGGTGAAAGAATGTACCTTCAGTTTCTTTACATTTCCAACATTTATTATCGGGCAAATGATAGATTTTTGCAAGCCTGACTGGGGTCATGTACCACCTGTATATCATTTTCATAATATTCTCTCTTAAGGCATTACATGCCGTAAATTTCATACCTGTGGTCCACAACTGTTCCCAGTCAGCAAACATGATATTATGTCCTAAATCTTGTGCCCATTTAATCATAGCAGATTTCACAGTTTCGTCCTGAGTATTCCATTTCAGCAACAAGTTATACATTCTTGACAAAGTCTTAGTAGTGGGTTCTAACAGTTCTGTTTCCAATTTTGATTTATCCACCTGGAAGCCAATTTTCTTATCCAAATTATATGCCTCCATTATCTGATAGTAATGAAGCCAGTCTCGCACTTTGTTTTTAGTTTCTCAAAGCTCTGCAATTTCAATTTGTCTCCTTCCTGTTCCAAAATTTCCCAATATTTCGGCCATTTGGCCTCCATATTGAGCCTTTTCTGGGCCTTTGCTTCCATCGATGACAACCACCTAGGGGTTTTGTTTTCCAGTAAGTCCTTGTATCTTATCCAGACATTTAACAATGTTTTCCTGACAATATGGTTTTTAAATGCTTTATGTGCTTTAACCTTGTCATACCATAAATATGCATGCCACCCAAAAACATTGTTGAAACCTTCTAAATCCAAAATGTCTGTGTTTTCAAGAAGCAGCCATTCTTTCAACCAGCAGAAAGCTGCTGATTCATAATAGAGTCTAAGGTCTGGCAGGGCAAATCCACCTCTATCCTTTGCGTCAGTTAGTATTTTAAATTTTATTCTAGGCTTTTTGCCCTGCCAGACAAATTTTGATATGTCTCTCTGCCACTTCATGAAACAATCCATTTTGTCCACAATTTGTACTGTTTAGCTCCGACCTGTATGCCTTTAATCAGACGGTCCCTTCTAATCATATTTAGCAAAACCTCCAGGACCGAAATGAAAAGCAATGGGGAAATTGGGCAGCCTTGTCGTGTCCCTTTCTCTATCTTAAATTCCTCTGTTACCACATTATTAACTATTAATTTAGCTTTTTGTTCTGAATATATTGCACTTATACCATTTTCAAACCCTTGACCCACTCCCATCCCCTGTAGATTTTTCTTCATGAAGCTCCAAGAAATATTGTCAAAGGCTTTCTCCGCATCAACAAAAATTAAGACTGCTTTAGTATTAATATTTACTTGCAACATCTCCAAGATGTCAATTATGTTCCTTGTGTTATCTGACAGGTGTCTACCTGGGAGAAAGCCTGCTTGGTCTTTATGAATCTCTTCTACTAATACCTTTTTTAACCTTTTAGCCAAAATATCTGCAAAGATTTTGTAATCCACATTGAGCAGGGATATGGGGCGGTAGTTCCTAAGTTGCATCTTTTCAGTCTCATTTTTCGGTATTAGTGTAATATAAGCTTCTTTCCATGACTCTGGTGCTTTTTTCCCCTCTAAAATTTCATTACAAACCTCCTTTAATGGTTGAATTATCCAGTCCTTCAAAGATCTGTAGTATTTGGAGGTTAAACCATCTGGCCCTGGAGATTTGCCCAGCTGTATGTTTTGGATGGCACCTTCCACCTCCTGTTCTGTTATTTTATAGTTCAACATTAACTTATTTTCTTGAGAGATTTTTTGTAGCCCATTTGTTTTTAAAAAGTTGTCTAAATCACCCTCTTTCTGTGGCCCTTGTGTATATGAGATGGAGATATTTTTGGATTGGAGTCCTCCCGAGACCTACCCCCCAAGGAGAAAGGAAAGAAATTAAGAAAAAGATCAACAAAAGACAAAGTAAAGTGCAGGTATAAACAAGAAGAAGATCTGCAGAAGGGACATGGAAAAGACTTAAGAGCCTCGGATATAAGATCATCAGGTTGATGGACTAGATGGAATGGACAAGAAGGACTGACAAAACCCGAGACCAGGAAGAAGAGACGTTGGATGAAGATTGGAAGAAAGTTTTTAAAAAATTTATTTTGAGAATTAGTGTAAAATTAATGAGTATTAGGAAAAACGTTGGAATGAAACTATTTGGCTTTAGTAGAAATGATATAAGGAGTTATGTACATTAAGTTTTAAGTTTTAAGGTGTGTTTTTTTTATGGCAAGATAAGGTTAAATAAATTAAGGTAAATTGAATGACAGAATATAGTGAAAGATGGAAAGGATTTGTTGCGTTAATTAAAAGGTTAGATCATTAAGATAAATTATATAACAAAAATTGAGAAAGATGGAAAGAATTTGCTGAAACAATTAA